AAGGAAAAAACAGAGTTAACGTTTTGAGTCCGGTGACCCTTCCTCAGAAAGGGAGGGAATGGGAATTGGTTCACAGTTTGAAGGTGTTGAACTCGATATTCAAGTCCAGAAGGCTGTAAAGTGCCTAGCCTGAAGATGAGATGTTGTTCCTGCAGTTTGCACTGTGATTCACTGAAACACTGCAGCATGCTGAGGACAGACATGTGGGCATGCAAGCAGGACGCTATGTTAAAATGACCAGCCACTGGAAGGTTGGGCTCATGCTTGTGCACAGACCAGAGGTGTTCTGCAAAATGATCACCCAGTCTGCATTTGGTTTCTCCAATGTAGAGTGGGCCACTTTGGGTGCAGTGAATACAATACACAAGATTGGGGAATGTACAGGTGAAATGCTGCTTCACCTGGAAAGACTGTTTAGGCCCTTGGATGGTGAGCAGGGAGGAGGTGAGGGGGCAGGTGTTGCACCTTCTGGCTTGGGAATGGAGGGTGGTGTTAGGGGTCGATGAATAGACTAGTGTCCCAGAGGGAACAATCCCTGTGAAATGCAGACAGAGGGAGTGAGGGGGAGATGTGTTTGGTGGTGGTGTTCTGCTGGAATTGTCTGAAATGGCAGAGAATGATCCTGTGAATGTGGAGGCTGGTGGGATGAAAAACGGGGACAAGGGTGACCCAATCACACTATTGTAAGTGATGGCAAAGGGCAAGGGCAGAAGCATGGGTGATAGGTTGGATGTGGTTGAAGGCCCTGTCAACCACAGTGGATGGGAAACATAGTAATGGAAGAAGCAAATCATGTCAGCAGCGTTGTTTTAGAAGGTGGCTTCATCTGAACGGATGCGACATAGATGAAGGAAGTGGGAGAATGAGATGGAGTCCTTGCAGGACATGAGGAGGGAAGACCTGTCATAAAGGTAGCTATGGAGTCAGTGGCTTTGTAGTGGATGGCAGTGGATAGTTTAGTCCCTAAAATGGAGACAGAGAGGTCAAGGAAAGGAATGGAAATGTCGGAAATGGATAATGTGAAAATTATAGAGGGGTGGGAATTGGAGGCAAATGAACAAATTTTAGGAGCATGAAGTGGCACAAAACAGTCATAGATTCACCGAATAGAGAGTTGTGGGAGGGGGCCAGTGTAGGACTGGAAAAAGGATTGTTCCACATACCCAATAAAGAGGCAGGCATAACTGGGATCCATGCGGGTGCTCATAGCCACTCTTTTGACTTGGCAGAAGTGAGATGAATTAAAAGAGAAATTGTTCGGTGAGAGAACAATTTCAGCCAAGTGGAGGAGAGTGGTGGTGTTTGGGGATTGTTCAGGCCTCTGGTCAAGGAAGAAGTTGAGAATTTGCAGACTGTCCTGGTGGGGAATGGAGGTAAAGAACGAGTGGACAACCATGGTTTCATCCCTTGCAGAACACCTCCGGTCTGTGCACAAGCATGACCCTGACCTTCCTGTAGCAGGTCATTTTAACACAGCATCCCGATCGCATGCCCACATGTCTGTCCTCGGCATGCTGCAGTATTTCAGTGAATCATAGCACAAACTGCAGGAACAACATCTCATCTTCAGGCTAGGCACTTTACAGGCTTCTGGACTTAATATTGAGTTAAACACCTTCAAACTGAGAACAAATTCCCATTCCTTTTTGTTTAGCTTTACTTGTTACATTCTCTGTCACCATGTCCTCTCTCCCCTCCCCCAACCCCAGTAGGACTGCCTGTTCCTTCAAAATAAAAACCCAAGAACTGTGGATGCTGTAAATCAGGAACAAAAACAAAGTTGTTGGATAAACTCGCAGGTCTGGCAGCATCTGTGAAGGACAAAACAGAACTTCTGAATGTCAACTGTTTTTTTTCCTTCACAGATGCTGCCAGACCTGTTGAGTTTATCCAGCAACTTTGTTCTTGTTGTTGTGTCTGTTCTTTCAAGTCTGGCAGCTAGACACCCCATTCTCACATTCTGATCACTTAATCCGAACTATCAACACCTTTTCTTCCCTAGTACTCTACACTCCGCCACCCAACCCCCCAACTATAACATAAATGCTGCCCCCTCCACACTTCACTTCAGCTGCGATGAAGAGTCATCTAGACTCAACGTTAGCTGCTCTGTCTCCATGGATGCTGTCTGACCCATAGTGATCTCCAGCATTGATTGTTTTCAGTTGCAAATATCATGCCCTTGTTCAAGAAAAGTTGTAAGGATAAGCACAACAATTGCAGACCAGTCTGTTTTAGTTCAGTGGTGCGGAAGCTTCTAGAAACAATTTTTTGCAATAGAGTTATTGGTCACATGGAAAAAGGCAGATTAAAACCCAGCCTGGATTTCTAAAGGGGACATCATGTTTAACTAACTTGCTGGTATTTATTTAAGAAATAATGGAACGGGGCAATGAGGGTAATGCTGTTAATATGGTGTACTTCTAAAAGGTGTTTGATACAGTGTCACACAACAAATTTGTGATAAAATTAATAGTTTATGGAAGAAAATAGGCAGTGACAATGAAGATACAAAATAGACTGAGGGATAGGAAATAGAGTAATGGAAAATGGATAGTTTTCACGCCAGAGTAAGGGTTATAGAGGAGTTCCCCAAAGGTTGATGTGGGATGCTTGCTTTTCTTAATATAGATTAATGATCTGGACCTTGTGAGCAGGGGACAGTTTCCGAGCTTAAGGATGAAATGAAATTTGGAAGCATTGTAAAGCATTGTGAGGTAGATTGTGTAGAACCTTGCGGCAGGTGAAGTATAATGTCGAGAAATGTGAGGTAATGCATTTTATTAGGAAGAACATGGACAGACAATACAACATAATGGGTACAATTCTCGCCATCAACTCCCAGATAATTTAAAAAAAAGTGTGCCTCCTCTTTAACCATTGAAAGTATTTATACCCTCCCTGACTCCCAGGAGCAGAGAATTCCAGATGTTCACAGGGCCTTTGGGGAAGAAATTTATTTGCATTTCATTTTAAATGAGTGTCTCCTAATTGTATAACTATGTCCCTGGATTGAGATTTCCCCATTAGTAGAAACATTTTTTTCAGTATCTATTCTGTCAAGACCACTCAGAATCTTGTTTATTTCAATAAGTCACACCTCATTCTTCTAAACTCTGACAAATAAAGGCCTAACCTGTTTAACCGTTCTTGATAAGTCAACTCTTTCATCCCAGGAATTAGCCTGGTGAAACTTTTTTGAACTGCTTTCAATACCAATAAATCATTTCCTAAATACAGCAGTCCAAACTATACATTATGTTCTAGTTTCAGCCTCACCAATACTCTCTACGGTTGTAGATTTTCCTAAATTTCCTGCTATTTCCTTTATAATAATAGGCTGTAACATTTTCCTAATAGCAGAAGTTAGGCTAACTGGCCAATCATTTCTCACATCCTGTCTCCTGCCTTACACGCGGCACCGTGGCTCAGTGGTTAGCACTGCTGCCTCACAGCGCCAGGAACCCGGGTTCGATTCCAGCCTTGGTCAGCTGTCTGTGTGGAGTTTGCACATTCTCCCTGTGTCTGTGTGGGTTTCTGCCGGGTGCTCCAGTTTCCTCCCACAGTCCAAAGATCTGCAAGTTAGGTGGTTCGACGCTGCTAAATTACCCATAGTGTTCAAGGATATGTAGGTTAAGTGCATTAGCCATGGGAAATGCAGGTTTAGGGGGATGGGCCTGGGTGGGATGCTCTCCAGAGGGTTGGTGTGGACTTGTTGGGCTGAATGGCCTGTTTCCACACTCTGGGTTTCTATGATTCCATGAACAGGGGAAAGAAAGAGGAGTTGAGGGTGGGGCTGGTCAGCCCTGATCTGTTTGAATGGCAGGGCAGGATTGATGGGCCAAATGACCCAATCATGCTCCTCTTTGTTATGTTCTTAATTTCTAACAGGGGTGCAGCAGCAGTGGGACCTGGATGTGTATGTGCACAGACCATTGAAAGTGGCAGGACAGGTGGAGAGCAGTTAATAAGGCACACAGTACCCTGGGCTTTATTAATGAACAGTAAAGTACAAGAACATGGAGGTGATGCTGAAGTTGTACATGACACTTGCTCGACCTCAGCTAGAGTACTGAGTCCAGTTCTGGGCACCACACTGTAGGGATGATGTGAAGACTTCGGAATAAGTGCAGAAGAGATTTTAAAGAATAGCTCCAGTGATGAGAAATTTCAGTTAAGGCTGTAATTTTGGAGTGTAGAACGCTAAAGTGAGTTTTCAAAATTATGAAGGAGCTGGATAGAGCCAGATAGGGAAAATTGTTCCTGCTCACGAAAGGGTCAAGAATGTCAGGCAAAAATTTAAGGCAATTTACAAAAGATGGAAATGTAAAGTGGGAAAAAACCTTTTCACAGAGTAGTTTGGTTCTGGAATGCACTGTGAGGTGGGTTTAATTGAGGCATTCAAGAGGGTGGGTGGATGGTTAACTAAATAGAAATAATGTGCAGGGTATGGTGAAAAATCAGGAGATTGGCATTAATTCCAGATACTCATTTAGAGAGCCAGTGCAGACATAATGAGTTGAATGGCCTTCGTCTGTACCTAACGATTTTGTGTTTGCAATCCATTTACTTACTTTACCTTCAGAATATTATAAGTGATTTATAGGATGAAAATTTTAAGATCAGAATATGTCTGTGAGGTAAAGCTATCATAAATAAACTGTAGAACAGTAACTAGTCTTACCACATTATGGAAAGTTATACTTTTATTTAAATTTTATGAAAGACAAGACATGAGGTTGTCTAATGTTGTCACCAATTCACTAAATGCATTACCAACAACAGCTAAGATTGGACATTCTTTGTTGGCTGTGATGTAGATAAAATCTTTGTTTAAATGTAAGGAGTTTATTTACAAATTATAAATAATATGTTTATCCTTTTACAGTGTTTCCATTGCTTCTTGCCTCCCTTTTAGCCATTTCTAACTTTTTCATCTTTCTCTTCTATTCATTCCCTCCTTTTTTAAAAATTTCTCCATTTTTCCATCTATTTCTCAGTGCATTGAAGCAATTAAAAGTCTAAGAAGTGACTTAATCAGGCTAAAGTCTAAAGCAAACCTGGAGCAGGAAAATGACACGCGTCAAAGAAATCAACGATTTGTTAAAGATTTTGATGTTACCGAGAGCAAAACAATTAACAGATGGGGCATATATCAAGCCGTCAGGTATGAGAAAGGTTGTCAAAAACAACAGAAAATAAATGTATCTTTTATCAGGCAAACTGTAAAGACATGATCTGACATTATCTGCCTGTTTACTAATGTATACTGTAACATGGCAGTTGGTTTGCAAAGGCTGAAGTTATTGTATCAGGAGAGCTGACTTGTTTATCTTTCAAGCTGAGTGCTGCCTACAGTTCAAAGTTCATCACAGTTGTTTCAGAGCACAGTAAATATGTTTTGAGGTTTTTTTTTGAATGTTGTACTTTTTTGGGGGGAATTATTGATATCGACTGTGGATTGGTTCATGCTCATGTTAGAAGTAGCAAAGTATTGAGAACATTTTACTAATGGTGGTTGCAGATGGCTTTGCTTTAATTGTTTCAATGATTCAAGTAAAATTGATTTTATGTAGCACTATTTGCTGTTGTATCTTTTTTGTCTGCATGTACTTGCTTTAACTCAGACAGCTGACTTTCACGGTGAACCACTGGACTGTTAGCCAACTTCCGTCCTTAATGAAGACCTTTCCCACACGTGACTTTGCAGTATTTGCTTTTATATAATGTGAAACAGGTAAAGAATCTATTTCAAGGCCATTTTCTTTCCTTTACAAGTTATGTGCTGAACAGTGTCCCAACTGATCAGATTTTTGGAAAATAAAATCGATAATCATGGCAGTTTATGACCACCTAGGAAGAACTGCTTCACTTGACAATCTTCCTGAACAACTCCTTACAAAAAACAACCTAGAGCATTATGGGATCTATTTGCAAGTGCATTTCAAGTCACAAACGATATTTGTACTGAGCAAACAATCTCTCAACAAACCAAGCCGAGTCTGTGGCTGATCACATTAACTTTCTCCAATGTTGTCTAGCTAAGACAGACTGTATTAATCCGATTCTATTCTTATTGATCCAGTTGTAGCCAATGAAACACCTGAATGATTTTATTTTTCCCTGCTCCTGTATTGCTGCATTTGTTGTTTCCAAAGGAAGTGTCCCTGACCCCACCTCTTTTTCACAAAATTTTTTTGGCTGGCAACTGTTTGAGTCTGAATCAGACTGTTGCTAAACATGGTATCATATTTGACCCAAAGATGAGCATCTGACCACAGATTCATGGTTTGAATAAGACTGCCTATTTCCATCCCTTTGACATCACTTCATTCCAAACCTACTTCAGCTCATTGATAAAACCCCAAACTAATTACCTATAGACTAGAAACAGCTTGAAGGATTGCAGGGAAAAGAATTGAGAATGGCACTAAGTCATAATGCTGTTTTGGAGAGCTGATGCAGATGTGATGGGCTGAATAGCCTCTTTCTGCGCTGTAGCAATTTTGTGACTTGAGTATTTCAACAGATGATTGGCCAGCCTCCTACTTGTTACCTAAGTGAACTTCAACTCATCTAGCCATTTACTAGCTGCATCATAACTTGCACCAAGTTCCATTCATCCATCACTCATTTGCTTGGTGGCCTACATTGTCTCCCAGCTAAGAAGTTCTTTGATTCTAAAATTCTTGTCTTGTTTTGAAGTTCCCTTCCATTTGTCTTTCACTTTTATATCTTTAAATTCTGCTTCTTCAGAATACTCCTCCTCCAATACTGAGATTTTCAGCATTCCTGATTTTTACTGCTTCAACTTTGGAAGCCATGTCTTCATCCATTGAGGCCCTAAATGCTGGAATTTCATCCCTCAATTTCTCTGCTCCTTTTTCTTTTTTTAAGTACTCCTTCAAACCCTCCACTTTGACCCTGCTTTTCATTAACAACTATAATAATTTCCTTATGTGACTTGTTTCATAATGAAGATAGCCTTTATTGCAGTTGTGATTGGCAGGTCTGAATATTACACATCTGTTCCTGGTAGCACATCACAAGTGTAAAGCGGTCATATTGACTGAACTGGAATCAATGCACAGAAACAAATGTGTTTCAGGCCTTGGTGAGAGAGATTGACGAGTTACACATTAGATTTAAAGTCAAGACCTTGAATGATGATGTATGGACTTTCTTTTAACCCACACAATGGATGGGTTAAAGACAAGAACATTAGTAAGGCCAGCACTTAGCTGTAGAACTGGTGAAAGAGGGAAGGTTTCACATCCTGAAAGTATTGGAGCTAGTTTTTGGATCAGAGTGACAGTCTTGCCAAAAATTAAATTGGTGCTGGTGGGACAGAATTTAACCTAATATGTGTAGCATAGGATTAGGCAATGTCTAGGTTTGAGGTGAGGAAGAAAAATTAAAAGATGTAATGAGATAAAAATATCAGGCTGAATTTAGTGGCCACACCTGTGGCAATGTCCATTGACTAGAGTCAGGGGTCTTCCTATCTTGGCCATTTCTGTGAGACATGTGTGGCTATCCTGAAGCTAACTGCCTAGTGTTTGGTCTTCCAGCCCTTTTGAGATAAATATTCTCCTCCAAGAGATGCTCCCCAATCAGCAGGCATCAGTCTTATTCGCTCAATTGGAAGTACGGCTATTGCTGACAATTGAGCAGACTTGAAGCAGCCAGCAGGGAGGAGATCTCAGAACCCAGCTAACTAGGTTAGGCTTGTTGGGAGCAGCCAGGCCTCACTTAAGGTTGAGGGCCTTTCTAAAGGGTCATCCCTTGAGACTCAGCATTCCTTTGAGGGGCACGGGATATTCAAGCTGGAAGGCCCCATCCCATTCCCTGTCCCCATAAAATGGCCATTATCAGTTTTTGCAACAATTTTTCTAAATACCATCGGATTCTTTTGCTGGTGATTTCCTAATGGCAACAGGATGAGGCCCTTAAATAACCATTAATTGGTCATTTAGGGTCTTCTTTTGGCTTCCCTGTGGGAAGGCCAACTTAACTATCCCACATAGGGAAATGAAACAAAAAGAGAAAATGCTGGTGAAACTTTGCAGGTCTGGCAGCATCTGTGGGAGAAAGCAGAGGGAGAAAACCTTTCGTATCCGGTGACTCTTCACCAAAGCTCTCCGCATGCGGAGGTGTTGGTGTTGTGATAATATTGTTGGACTAGTATTCTGGAGGCCAAAATTGATGCTGTGGGTTCAAAACCCACTATGGCAACTGGTAGAATTTAAAATGTGATGAATACATCTGGTATATAAGGCTAGAGCTAGATATCGTGTCATGAAATCACCATCGATTGTAAAAACTTATCCTCTTCAATACTGTGAATGGTACTTGCCATCCTTATTTGGTCTGGCCTACCTGTAAGTCCAGATCCATGGTAATCTGGTTGACTCCTAACTGCCCGCTGGAATGGTCTAGCATGCTACTCAGTACAAGGGCAATTAGGAATGGGTTACAAATACTGACCTTGCCAGTGACACCCACATTCCATGAAAGAATAATGAAAAGTAATGGGAATCATATTCTGCAAAAGAAATCCTGCAAAAATTACAATGTGTCAATCTATTCAGTGTGACGAAATTCTAGTTTGTCATATAAGTATTTCTCATTTGGAGTGTTACTTCAGGATTCTGATTATTTTGCTTTCTGTTTTCTTCCCTGTGTATAATTTGAGTTTGATAATTTCTTCCTTCCTACACCAATCGATGAATGGAAGCTACACCAAATCAAATTTAAGGGTTTTTTTTCTTTATTGATTCATGGGATGAGGATGTCGCTGACCAGGCAGCATTTATTGCCCATGCCTAATTGCCCAGCAGGCAGTTCTGATTCAGACATTTTGCTGTGGGTCTGGAGTTGCATGTAGGCCAGACCAAATAAGGATGGCAGTTTCCTTCTCTAAAGGACATTAGTGAACCAAATGGGTTTTTCTGACAATTGACACTGGATTCACAGTCATCACTAGACTCTTAATTCCAGATATTTATTGAATTCAAATTCCACCATCTGCCATTGCGGGATTCGAACCCGGATCCCCGGAACATTATTTGGGTCTCTGGATTAACAGTCCAGCGATAATACCATTAAGCCATCACCTCCCCAGTCAAAATCTTAATGAATTAAGTTTAATTTTGAAAGCACACTTGCCATCTTTTGCTGTGAAGAAATCTTACATTAATGCAGTTGGGCAGAAAATCTTTGGCTATGATGCAGTGCCTCCCTGTTTAATGATCAGAGGGTGGATGCTAGTTGGTCAGATGGGTGGATCAGGTTAGTGCCAACAGCCATGGGGTTTCATCCCTAGTGCAGCAGGGACATACCCACAGTGTGGGTCAGACCAGCCATTGTTCAGAGACATCAAGAAAAAGAAAAAATATTGAACTATGTTCATGTTTCTACTTTTAGGTGGATGCAGTGGAAGACTAATCTGAAAAATAAGATACAGAAATTGAGGTTAAAAGATCAAAGGAACAATTCATCTCCGGTCCATAAAGATAATTGAGTGATCCTAAAGGGAATACCCAGAAGAAATTAAAATGAGTCTGTAAGCCAATCAATTCTTCTTTTCCACAGCACACTAGAGAATTTTCAAAGAAGAGGTTGATGAGCAGTACTAGATCCTGACCAAATAATACTGGAGTCAAATATGCCATTGTTGCTGTTACTATAAACATGCTGCTGATACAAAATGTAGTGACTGTTTTGCTTATTTTGAGTGAACAGTATATTTTAGGTATCAGAGGAGTATGTCAAGAGCTGTTTATTAGGCCTAAGTCTTACACAGTGGCAGATGCCTGTTTCACATACAAAAATGCATATAGTGGATCAGGGTTTGCTACAGCAACTTAAAGAAAATTATGAAGATATACATTAAAATAACCTGAACTAGTAAATGCAAAAGCATGGACAATGCGTCAATTCTGTCAACAATGCTGAGAACAATACTTTAGCATATACTTGATTTTAAAATGCCATGAATATGTTACAAAGACAAAGACATACATCAATAGATGAAAAATAGTTCTAACCTGCTTGTAGCAATTCGCTGTACAGCATCAATTACAGATCATTAGGGGCTGGTATAATGATCAACGATACTTACATTTCAAGATGGGTAATTTGTGATTAATTACCAAATCAGAATAAACTTCCAGTGTCTGAAATATAGTTTCCATGCAATGATCTTTATTATAATTACCATACCAAAATGGAAATCGCACAGATGTTGATAAATTATTGATGTTGAAAATATCCTCAGCCATTTTTAGAGATGACAAAGATTAGAATATTGCAGAGTAGAAGTTCCTTTCAGGTGGTATTGGATTAGTTGTCCATTACATGCAGCACCTAATGTTTAATTTCATTGATTGACATTCAGTTCCATTGCAACGACAGTATATAATGGATGGCTGATCCACTATTGCTCTTTTGCACCATTGATTAGATTTTCTATCACTAGGTGTTTAGATTAACATGACCTCTGCAACTCTGGATCTGTCTTTTATTCAAATCTTGGACAAACTATTAGAGATTGTTCATTATGATACGAATGCTGAGAATAGTTTATTCCATATCATTCCCAAAATGGGATGATTCCGATATAGTGGGCAAAATGTAAATGTCATGTCAATGTTTCCTCGTTATTGAATTTCAAGGCATGTCAGTACAGCTAAGTTATCATTTTCAGAAATTGTGAGCCAGAAAGACAATATCAACATTCTTTCCATTATAAAAATTGACTTCAAATGTGCACAATTGAGCACTTCCATTTCAGCCAATGTTTCAGGATTCTTTTGGGTTTTAGTTTTGTGTTTTAAAAAAAATTAATTGATTATAAAGACTAATGCAGTTTTCGCTGATACAAATCTGCTTTTCTCTAAAAATTAGAGCTTAGATACATTTGCATGAATTGATAATTAGGAAGTTGTTTAAACATTGAATCTATCAAAAAGAATATGATAGAAAATCACAACATTGATAGAGTCATGGAGTTGTACAGCATGGACGCAGGCCCTTCGGTCCAACTCACCTTTGCCAACCAGATATCTTAAATTAATGTTGTCCCATTTGCCAGCATTTGGCCCAAATCCCTCTTAACCCTTTCTATTTATGTACCCATCCAGACGCCTTTTAAATGTTAATACTAATTAGGGAGACTATTTGACCCATTCTATCCCATCTGGGATTTGAGAAAAGTTCTGATATGTTACTTCACTGTTATTAAATCATCCAAACTTTTCAACTTTACTACTGTATTCAGAAAACAAGTCCATGGAATTCTGGCTTCAAACATTCATAGGATATTTGTTCTGAGTTAACTTTTTTGACCTGTGAAGTCCTTCTCTAACATTCTTGCATTAGTAATGCTCAATATTTATCTTATCTCTGCCACTTAATATTTTGTATATTTCTACATCATCTCCTCCCTGTCACCTTCAGCCAAAGTTAACAAATTCTAGTTTCTCTGGTCTTTTCTAAGGGAATAGTTGGCACTCTGGTTTATATTTTTGGGTACTTTATTGATGCAAGTGTATTTCAAAGATAAAAGAATTCTGTAGAATTGCAATAGCAAATTTAGAGGCATACATAATCTAAAATTAATTCTGGGAAAATAATCAAAAGTATTTTGTAGGATCTAAAGCGTTAAGTGGGGAGTAATCAAAATAGGTTTGTGAGAGACAAATACAAATATTTTGAAGTGTAACAACTATTGAACTATGCCTCTCCATAGATGTTTTCTTTTTTTTCCAACGTCTATAACTGATGTGTTTAACACCTTTTGGATCAGTAAATCTTGACAGAAAGAAGGTACTAATGACAAATTAAAATTATGATGAGGAACAATGATTAGTAGGATAGAGATTGAGATAATTTGGAGTTTAGCTCAATTTACCTTTTGATAAAATGGGATAAATTTTACAGAGTCTCCCTTCAAGAAATTACAATAAGATAGAGTTTATGTTGAGATACGTAGGAAGTACAAGAACAAGACTGGATCATTTAGTCCCTTAAACCCAGTCCTCTACCATTCAGTGAAATTATGGCTAATCTGCAATCCAATTCCAAATACTTGCTTTTCCCCTTAATAGATAACAAAATAGATAATAATAATTATCTACAGATAAATCTATGGAATAGATAACAAAAATCTATCAACCTCATTTAAAATTTTCAATTTATTTTGTATCTATTGCTGTTGGCTGAAGATAGTTATAAACTTCTATTGCCATTTGTATATATTTTCATTTCTAAAAGGCATAACTTTAATTTTTAGACTTTGCCCCACTCCCCCCATTCTGAATTCCCCAGTTTACAGACTAGTCCTTCCCTATCTACTCTATCTGTTTTTCATAGACACTTGAAAACTTCAAACATATTCCCCCCTTTAACATTCTAAATTTTAGGGTATTCATTCCTAGTTCACTAGGAAGAAGTCAACATGCTTTCTCTACTGCAAGTACTGATTAAGCATGTATCACATTTCCTTAATTTCATTGGCAATAACACCATTGTCAATTATCATGGCACCAAATTACTCCTGATCACCCTCCTGTTCCTTTTGTTATAACACTCTCTTTCTGTAGTTCTTATTATTTTTTATCACCCTTTGTTTTTTTTTTAATAATTTGTGTATGGAATGGGGACAGTGGTGGCTAGGACAACTTTAATTGCCAATCACTAATTGTCCTGGAAAAGTTTACTGCTGCCTTGAATCATTGCAGTCCTTGGGATGCAAGTGCACCCATTGTATTATTAGGAAAGGAGTTCCAGGATTTTGATCTAGTGACAGTAATGGAGCAGTAATATAATTATAAATCAAATGGCATGTGACTTGAAGGTAACTTGCAGGTGACGGCATTCCCATACATCTCTTACTCTTGTCCTTCTAGGTGGTAAAAGTTGCAGGTTTGGAAGATGCTGTCAAAGGAGCCTTGGTGTGTTAGTGTATTGCATCTTGTAGATGGCTCATGTTGCTCGCACTCTGCATCAGTAGTGAAGTGAGGCCTAATCAAACTTTGTCCTTGAAGTTTTGAGTTTCTTGAGTGTTTTGAGTCTACACCCATCAAGGAAAATGAAGAGAATTCTATCACAAACATAGAGAATGCTGGAGAAACTCAGCAGCTCTGGTAGAAACTGTGGAGAGAGAAACACGTAAAGTTTCAAGTCCAGAATGACTCCTCTTCATAATTTTATCACACTGTAACTTGGTGCTTTGTAGATGGTGGACAGGTATTGGGTAGACAGGAAGTGAATTATTCACCACAGATGTCCTAGTCTCTGACCTGCCGTTGTAGTCACAGTATTTTTATTTTTGGTTCCATTCAGTTTCTGGTCTGGAGATTCTGCAATGGTAAGGCAATTGAATATCAAGTAGAGATGGTTAGATTTTCTCTTGTTGAAGGTTGTTGCCTGGCATTTCTGTGCCTTGAATGTTGCTTGCCATTTATCAATCCAAGTTCTTTTATCTTTCACAGCTACCAGGATCTGTGGTCATGTTCACATTTTTGTATGTTTTTGCTTTTATATCTTGTTGCTTACCTCTTTAGTTGTCCACGGCTGTCGTTTTTGGCATAGCTCTTTCTCTGTAGAAGTATAAACTGATTGTGTATCACATTGAATTCATTTCTGAACACCTTTTCACTGACCTTTTGTCATTTTATCCATTACCAGATTTGTCTAGCTTACTGTAGTCAGTTTCCTTTCAATCTACAGAAGTCAACTTTACATAAATCTAAAAGTTGTTTCACAGCTGTCTCTTTCAAACACTATGCAAACACAATTGAATTATGAACACCATTAGATAATTATTCACGTATATGCTGTGAAAGGATCCAGGTAGGGTGGACATGCTTTCCTTTTATACTGAATACAGTAATCTGCTTTACTGTATTTAGTTATTAATCATAAAACTAAAAGGAAAATAATGAAAGATGTGAAAATGTATCTATGCAACATTAGTCCTCTCATCTTGCAATCATTTGTACTGAAGTTTCTACCTTTTTTGATTCATTAATCGGATGTGGCGTTATTGGCAATGTGCTTGGACTGAATGGATTGCTTGGCCATTTCAGAGGGCTGTTAAGAGTTAACCACATTGCTTTGTGTCTGGTGTCACATATAGACTAGACCAGGTTAAGAAGGCAAATTTGCTTCCCTGTAATATGTACAAAGGGTGGTAGAAATTTATAATGATGTTAGTGAACCAAATTAGTTGTTACAACTACAATTATCAGTTTCATTGGCTCCATCAATGATGTAAATGTTATAATTACCAAGAGTCATATTGAGAAGTGAACACTAAGTGTGCTCTGCATCAGGATGAATTTTGGTAAACAATTGAAAACAATCACAGGGCTTGCCTAGCAATGTAGGTCCAAGAGCTGTCTGGCCTGGGGAAAGGTTTGAATCTTTTTGTGGCATGGTAGATTTTGAATGACAGCTTGCAAAGTAATCTGTCATGTAACAGATGACTAAAGCAAACTTACTTTATCCCTCCTCATTAGAATTCTCTTTCTGCAGAGGAAAATACGCTTGTTAGTGGATAACAAATGTGTCACCATGAGATCACCTTAATTTGATTGAAGCTAATGAATAAAAACAATGCTTGTTTGATCATAGCAAATTACATTGTTATGATATGTGAATTTGAATATCTGTTTTGTTACAGTTTTTTTAAGACCTGGTGCTATGACATAATAGCCCCTGTAGTGTTCATAAAATATAAAATTTAGTAAAATTTGTCCCTTTACTCATGTTTATTGCTGTACCTGGACCTGGTAATGAGAAGTTAACACAATACTGTCTTGAGATTTGAGTAAAAGGCAAATGATCTGTTTCAATAATAATCTAAAATGCTTTATATTTTGGAAATTATCTGTTGTAATTAACAATGTGAAAGAAAGTGTAAGACAAGTTGAATTGTGTCAAAATATATATACATAGTTTTTGCAAAACATTTGTAATTAAGGCATAAGATCAATTTTCAGTTAATGATTATTTGCTCAGGTGAGGCTTAAGTAGGAACAGGGCAGATCATGCCAAATATTCGAGGCAGAATTGGAACAATAAATAATAAATATTAAAGTAGTGCAGAAGGAGGTACTTTTCAACTTCTCACCAAGAGCAGAAAACACAAAACAAAAAAAAAATCAGGAAGCACAATTTATTTTATTTTATCTTATTTCCCGGGTTTTGTGATGCTTGGGTCAGAATCAGGAAAGGTTATTAATAAATAGTGTTACAATCTTCTGTTATAAAATAGTTTCACTACTTATGCAACAAAAAATAAGTAAAATGTTTTAAATAACCAAAATAATTAAAGTAACATGCTATCAAAGCAAGTTACTGATGTGTGTAATCCCTCATAAATTTTGAGTGTCATAAACTAGCCAGATCTATCAAATGTACTTCTGTAATAAATCCCTGATGAAACATAATTCTGTACAAATAACAAGTATTTAAACACTTGTGTGCTTAGAATAAAATAAAAAAAATGTATTGATGCACCCATCATAAAATCTTTTGTCATTTCAGATTGGAGTTTAGTAAGTTGTTGGAAAAGCCAGAAGACGTCTAAATAATATAGAATCAATCATAGTATCCTTACATATGGAAGCAGGCCATTCAGCCCATCAAGTCCACACCAACCCTCCGAAGAGCATCCCACCCAGACCCATCCCCTAATCTATCCCTGTAACCCTGCATTTCCCATGGTTAATCTACCTAACCTATATATCCCTGGACACTACGGGCAATTTAGCATGGCCAATTCACCTAACCTGCACATTTTTGGATTGTGGGAGGAAACTGGAGCAACCGGAGGAAACCCACCCAAACTTGGGGAGAATGTGCAAACTCCACACAGACAGTTGCCCGAGGGTGGAATCAAACCTGGGTCCCTGGCACTGTGAGACAGCAGTGCTAATGAGTGAGCCATTGTGTTATCCCTAGTATGTTTATATATGGTATAAACAAATGTGCATGTTCGTGTAATCAGTGTCATTATCAACTCTTTTCAGTTTCGCCAATAAAAGATTTGGATTTTCAGATTAAGGAGTTGTATTCTATTTAAATAAACTGTTGCTTTGTGTTTAATAACCATTGTTTTCAGTCTTTGCATTTCAGAAAATTTGAGCACCCCAGATTCTTAAAAGATGATTTTTTAAAAGCATCTTAAATGCTTTAAAAATGTATCAACCAACCATTAACACAAAATGGAATTGAAGAGCCAAAATGCATAACATTTTTAAAGGCCTAATACATTGTAATCCATAAATGAATTAGTAATTTGTATTGCTTTATTATAATAAACAAATATGCTGCTAAAATTGCAAAAACAAAACTAGTTGAGTCTTTATAGCATATTCAGGCACTAATGATCCAGTAAGCTCAGTCTCAAGTTGATATGGCAGTTTAGCTCCCTGTTAAATTTAAAATTTAAATTTTTAATGCTAGTTTTTAAAGCACTAGGAACAGCTGCTTTGTCAGAAATCTCCTGGTTATTATTAAAGAGGCTACCAAAGTTGCCAGGGCATTTCATAATGTCCTTTTATAACTGCGACCAAATGTTTGGAAATAAACATGGCATTTACGTTGATTTCAAGCACCACTTACAGAGTCATAGTCATGGAGTCATTGAGATGTACAGCACGGAAACAAACCTTTCAGTCCAACTTGTCCATACCCACCAGACATCCTAAATTAATCTAGTCCCATTTGCCAGCATTTGACTCATATCCCTCTAACCCCTCCCTATTTATGTACTCATCTAGATGCCTTTTTAATGTTGTGATTGTACCAGACTCCTCCACTTCCTCTGACAACTCATTTCCACACACGCACCACCCTCTGCGTGAAAAGATTGCCCCTTAGGTCCCTTTTAAATCTTTCCCCTGTCACCTTAAACCTATATCCTCTAGTTTTGGACTCCCCCACCCTGGGGAAAAGATCTTGGCTATTAACCCCATCCACGCTTGTGATTTTACAAATCTCTATAAGATCACCCCTCAGCCTCTGACGTTCCAGGGAAATTAGCCTATTCAGCCTCTCCCTACAGCTCAAACCCTCCAACCCTGGCAACATCCTTGTAAATCTTTTCTGAACCCTTTCAAGTTTAACAACATCTTTCCCATAGCAGGGAGACCAGAACTGAACACAGTATTCCAAAAGTGGCCAATGTGCTGTACAGCTGTAACATGATATCCCTATCCTATACTCCAATGCACTGATAAATAAAGGCAAGCATACCAGATGCCTTCACTACTCTGTTTACTTGCAACTCCACCTTCAAGGAACAATGAACCTGCAACCCAAGGCCTCTTTGTTCAGCAACACTCTCTAGGACCCTACCATTAAGTGTCATTAAGTCCCTGCTTTGCCCTACCAAAACGTAGCACCTCACATTAAACTAGGTTAAACTCCATCTGCCTCTCCTCGGCCCTTTGACTCATCTGACCAAAGTCCTGTTGCACTCTTGAGATAATTTTCTTCACTGTCCACTACTCCTCCAATTTTGGTGCCATTTGCAAACTTACTAACCATATCTTCTATGTTCACACCTAAATCATTTATGTAAATGACAAAAAGCAGTGGACCCAGCACCTATCCTTGCAGCACCCCACTGGTCACAACCCTCCACCACCACCCTGTCTCCTACCTTTAAGCCAATTTTGTATCCAAATGGTTAGGTCTCCCTGGAGTCCATATGATCTAAACCTGTTAACCAGTCTACTATGTGGAACCTTGTTGAATGCCTTGCTAAAGTCCATTTGGATCATGTCTACTGCTCTGCATTCAACAATCTTGTCACTTCAAAAAACTCAATCAAGTTAGTGAGACACCATTTCCCATGCAAAAAATCATGTTGACTATCCTTAATTCCAAATAAATTCAAATTCTGTCCCTCAGAATCCCCCCCAACAACTTACTCACCATTGACGTCAGGCTCACTGGTCTATAATTCCCTGGCTTTTCCTTTCTACCTTTCTTAAATAATGGCACCACGTTAGCCAACCTGCAGTCTTCCAGCACCTCACCAGCAGCAATCAATGATATGAATATCTCAGCAAGCGGCCCAACAATCACTTCCCTAGCTTCCCAACAGGTCCTGGGATACACCTGATCAGGTACTGGGGATTTATCCACTTCTATGCATTTTAATACGTCCAGCTCCACCACCTCTGTAATATGGATATTTTTTAAGATGTCTTTATTTCTTCAAGTTCTCTAGCCTCCATATCCTTCTCCACAGTAAATCCTGATGTGAAATACTCATTTAGTATCTCACCCATCTCATCTGGTTCCACACGTGGACGGCCTTATTGATTGTTAAGGGGCCTTATTCTCCCTCTAGTTATTCTCTTGTTCTTAATGTATTTCTACAATCTCTTTGGAGTCTTAAAAGGACAGTCACCATTCATGTTCTTCCCTATTGGAATGAGGACGTCTGGGACACTTCAGGGCAACACTCAAACAATGTTTATTCTGTAAAGTTAGTGAGGATGGCACCTAAAAAGTGTTTGTACTGTGTTCTATTTTATTGGACATCTTATAAACATCACCAGGAGAAATGCTGTGCTCATGATGGGAATGGGAGGAGGACAAGCTGCTGGAGGAGAGGAGAAGTGAGGTGGAGGTGGTGTCCTCCTCCTTCCAAGCGTTCAATACATCCTGAGATAGTAGGAACTGCCGATGCTGGAAAATCTGAGATAACAAGGTGTAGAACTGGATGAACACAGCAGGCCAAGCAGCATCAGAGGAGCAGGAAAGCTGACGTTTCGAGTCTGGACCCTTCTTCAGAATCAATACATCCTGCCTCCTTTGGATCTACCGTGCCAGGAATGCCATTGTTGCATCTGAAACTGTTTTGCTTTTTTCCTGACACACGCAGCCATCCTATGCCTGTTGTTGTGTGTCAGCCAATTCAGACTGCTTGGTCTCTATAAAAACAGCATTTAATCAGTACTTAAATACCAGTATGCGGATTTCTGGTTTAGCACCTTCAGGCATGTTTAAATTAAGATGATTAGTAATTAGGACTGAATTGTATGCTGAATCCAGGCTTTCAAACACATTAGTTCTTAATCTTTGGTCAAAAGAACCTGAAAGTGGCTTGGGATTGGTCTAATATTTTGATCTGAATGGAAATTTAAAATAATGTACAACAATTAAAAAAGAATAATTGATGCGCCAGTTACAAAATTCTGCAGATGCCTGAAATCTGAAATGGTAATATTTCAGGTATAGAGCCCAGATCTGAGGACTTGTCAACTTGTGTTCTCTCAACAGATGCTGTCTGACCTTGCGTTTCCAATTTTTTTTGATACTCCATTATTCCCTGCATATACTGTGCTTGTCTCCAGCTAACAAATAGAGTTCTACCATACTGAAAAGATGGCTAGAAATTTTAAAATGTAAGATAATCACTAATAAATTAAATTCACTATATCGACACATGCCAACAGATTACCCAAAGATACCCCAGTTATGATTAATCTTTTATTAAATGTAATGTTCAATGTAATTACACATCAGCCATACAAATGTATAACATTACACTTCAAATTGCATACTTTTACTAGGGATTTCATATCTAAAATGTTGGCAAGATTTGCAAAATTTGAAATGTAAGAAAAATGTTAAAGCTAATTTAGAGAAATTTTAAGATAATTTCAATTTTTCTGTAGTGCCAAAATATGTACTTTCAAACATGCGTTTGAAAAATTATTGAAAACAAACTTAGTTATTTTCTACATTAGAAAAACCAAACATTGTTTTAGTATTTTGAAAGATATGTGTACTTTTAAAATATTAAAGAATTCCAGGCTGATTCAGAACTAAAAAAAACCTGACATATAAATTCATTGACAAACAACATTTACTTTATACAACCTGATAAGATTCTGATTCCATTGAATATCTATTTACTTCAGTTGAAATTTCTCTGGTAACTTGTTGGAGTTCTTGTCCATTTGATTCTGAAGTCCAATTGGCTAAAAGATCACTGAAGTCAGGTGTACAGGTGTGAAGGACACAGCCAGGCATAGCAGAAATGGGCTCTCTCCAAAAAGATAAAGGAAGCCTTCGACTGTGCATTGGGATTATATTGGCATATTTTCTATCTAGTCTTTGTCTCTTGCTGTCTCTTCTGTTCAAGATTGTTTCTTTCATGTGCTTGTGCAAACCATATTCAAAAAGTTCTGCCAAGGGTCCTAACTTTTTAATGCTTTCTCTGTCACAGATTAACTTCAATGCCTGTATATCTATTTCTCTGGGACATGTTAAAGGTACATGAGCTTCCTCCTCCTCTTGATCTCCGTCCTGTGCAATTCTTATTAGATCTGCATAGTACAGTTCTCTCCCTGATTTACCAGAAGAAAACCTGTCTTCATAAATATTGCAAGCATCAGGGTCATCATCCTTGTTTTTTCTGCCAAAGTACTTCTGGATATCATTGTTGATTAAATCAGTAAACCTCAGTAGCTGCAATGTGGTGTCTGTGTTTTCTATAGGATTTAGTGACTGGCATGCAGGAGTCCAGTTTTCACTTTCAATGCATTTGGTGACAGATTCTGGTTCTTTGTTTTCACTGTCGTCTTCAAATTCTTCCTCTTCCTCAGATGTTTCCTGGAAATCCATGTCTTGATGAACATTGATATTTAGCATGGGAAGCTGAAAGGTAGGAACTAGCCTAAAATCTGACATATTCTTGATCACACCCGCTGCCATGACTTTCTTAGCTTGGTTCAGGTTCTGTCTTGTATCAGCCTCTGAACACAATTAAAAAAAAATACTTATACATAGTATTTGTCAGGATTTTTTAATGCATGGGAAAAGAGCATATCAATTAAATAATGAAATTAAAAGTATACAAGGAGAAACCACTATCAATAACATTAATATCATTTCAATAAATGAGTTGCTTTTGAGCTCTATTGATAGCATTTGCACTGTTTAAAAATATTACATTAATAAAGTAATTAAAAATAGCGAAATGTAAGAATTTAAAGAAACCTATGTTACATTTATAAACCAATTAATCAATTGAAACAGTAATCTAACTTCTAATTGATCCTTCTCTGATACTCACAACTTGATTTTACAAATGCCATACAATGGCATGAAGTCTTTTCAAATACAGCTTTTAGAAAATTAGAAATTTTAAAAATAATTGAGCCTTTCTCAATGCTACTATTAACCCTTACATTTGAAACAACAACGTTTGCTAAAAACTTCAGTTAAAATGATTTAGGAAATCTTGCATAAAAATAGCAAAAAGGTTGTTGCTGTTTCAAAGCTCTTACCTGAATTATAAACTCAGACTAGAGAAGCACACCAAAGAACTACCCTGCTATAACAGTTCCACACCTGTGATTAATGCATTTATAGTTTTGCATGGACTGACTTTTGACAAATATTTGGTGGGAGTATTGTAATAGTAGACTTTGTAAACAGAGCTTTGGTTTGTTTTAGCACCCAGCAACCAGAGAGTGTTGAAGAAAGCAAATCAGAGAGGCGGAAGATAGGCTTTAGCTTAATGGTCTGCTTGCCAGGGAATTTTCAAGTGTTGTTCCTGTAAATTCAGCAATTAAATCTCAAAGTCACAGATGTAAAACTGGTCTGCAAAGGGTCTTTATCAACTCTTTTGATACATGCTCAAATCAGCGTGAGTCAAATAGGCGTAAAATTGAATTTCATGGTATTTTGACTTGTTGAGTAGGCACATTTAAGAAACATAATTGTTATCATACAATCGGTTTTTAAAGAGGATGGGCGGCAATAATTTTACGAACTTCTTTCTACATGATCAAATGCTACGCAATATGGTTTGGGAATCATGCATCTATCTTGAACTCAGAAAATCAAATTATTTCTTAAATTAATGTTAAATGGTTTAAAATCATGTATATTATTTTGACAGAAGTATACTACAGCTTACTTGAAAATATCATCAAAAGATACTTTGCAATGTATTTTTTTGAAATTAGACTTCTATTGGATTTATATTTTCACTTGAGGTGATATTTAATCATCCAATATATTAATTGTATAAATATGAAATAACATCAAATCAAAACAAAATGTTAATAGTAAGTATTGAGGGTTGTCTCATATGTGAGAGATAGCCCAGGACTGGGAAGGCCCAAAGAATCTTTCTGGGATTATGCCTGCTCCTTGAAGTCCACTAGAAATCCCAAAAGGAGCAAATTGTTTAAATTTAGCTTGGCTTCTTTTTCCAAATCATTTACCCCATTAAAGTTAAGAGATTAAAGTGACATCACAGCAATGATGACATAGCAGGCACATTGCACTTGAATACAAATTGTAACCTTAGTATTTCATCTCTGTATACTGTGCTTTGGAAATATCATGTGAAAACAAAAGTCAGTTTCTACACATACACGGTCAACCAGCTCTAATGCACCACCATCTCTTTCGACCGCTCTATGGCCTGATAAGTCACACTACTTACCTGATATCTAGAATCAGATGAACAGCAATGTCCTGAAATTAATATAAGGAAGGCCAAAGTCATTGGTTTTGGTTTCTATTCACAAGCTGCTGCCTAATTTGCTTGTTTTATCTACTGCATAAGGCTGAACCAGACTGTTCACCTCCTAGTTTCCTTTTTGACCCTGAGTTGAACCTCCAATGTGACATTCTCTTCATTGCTAAGCTCAGAATTTTCTACATCTATTATGTTTCCTGATTCTGCCCAACTTCAGTTCATCCTCTGCTGAAACCCTCTACTACACATCTTTAATAACTCGCAATTTGACTACTTCAATGCTATTCTGGGCAACATCCCACTTCACACCTTCTATAAACTTGAGCTCATTCAAAATTACCCTTTCCATATCTTAAATCACACTTCTCATTTACATCCATTGCCTTCACCGACTTACAATATCTCTGCCTTGAAATTCCTTAATATTAAAATTCTAATCTCAGTTTTCAGATCCTTCAATGACTTCTCCTATCTTTGAGACTTATTCCAGTTCTACCACCGTCTGAGATTTCTGTGATAATCCAATTTCATCTTCTTATGCATTCCTGATTTTGATCAATCCACAATTGGTAGCAATCACTTCATATGTCTTGGCCCAACCTCTGGAGTTCCCTGCCTAAACTGCTCCACTTCCCTACTTGTGGAAAGATCCCTACATGTGGAAAGAGGCCACTCAGCCCATCTGGTCTGCAACAACCCTCCAAAGAGCATCCTGCAGACCCAGCACCCCTATCTGTTCCCCATAACCCTGCATTTACATTTGCTAACCTTTATAGCATACACATCCCTGGACATTACGGCACAATTTACCATGGCCAACCCACCTAACCTGCATATCTTTGGACTTTGGCAGGAAACTGCAGCACTTGGCAGAAACCCACACAGACCCCAGGAGAATGTGCAAACTCCATGCAGACTGGAATCGAATCCAGGTCCCTGGTGCTGTGAGGCAGCAGTGCTAATCACTAAGCCACTATGTAGCCCATCTCTCTCTATCCTCTTAAATAGCATATTTTCAAACATAAATTCTATCAAAGAATAGATTATAATGCATTAATTGTCTTTACCATTTTACAAATGTTATTTTCGTTCTTACTGAGTTCTTTGTAAAGTTGCCCTTTAAGCATGCAACTATATCTGTGGTCTTTGTTGTAGATGCCAATCTAGAGTTAACTTAGTCGAGAGTACATTGACATTAAAAAAAATGCAGGCAGTCTGAAAATATGCTCATTTAGAAGTAAAGTATTGAAATGGTGCTGTGTCGTGGAATGGACCTAAACAGCACCGTAGATTGACGGAACCAGTTCTCTCTCTCTTGCCACTACTATTGCTCCCCAAAATCCACATGACTGTGGTCAGGGGTTTTTAACTTGAAAATAAACGTCATCACCCCACCATTAATTTTGTAAATGAGCTATTCCATATTTTAAAAAAAATTGTAATATCATCACAGTTCCATTTTACATTAATAGATTTAATTGTTTTTCCACTATTTTTGCAGTGTCATTTATAACACTTGAATTTGATCATCACTAAGACCAGAGATGGTTATGTTGTGGAATGGTTGGACCTAGTCTTCTATTCCTTTGTTTTGCCTTCAAAGAAGTAAAAATGGATTTTACATTCGTATGGCTTAAATACAGGTTCAGGCCCAAAATATTTCTCGATCTTTGGTATTGCAAAGTATGTTATAAATTGGGTAGTAGGGTGGAACTATTTAGCAATGAGTTGGAATCAGTTTGGAAAATGATTTTAGCACTGAATTTGTAGGAAAATCCTTGCTTACAGAACGATTTGGCAAAGAATTCATTAAGGATGAAAATAATATTTATAAAATAGCAAAGACAAATTTAGAAGCAATTAGTGCACTGTAATTCATTCTTTGACAGAATCAATGTTTGAAAACATGGTATTTAAGAGTACAAGCTGTTTGGAAGAAATTTAAACATTCTCTTTTTTGATGCTTGGGAGGGCTTAGAATTTGAAAAATCTAGCTGTATGTTTTCAACAGTAATTCATATGATCAATAGGCTTCCCACTAAAGGCCAATAAAAGAGACAGTTCTCATTACATATCTAATATCACATTATGTTTAACAGATGTAATAAACAAAATGAAGGCTCTAGTAACTTAAATACATTATATATTTCTTCACACCTATTTAGAATCACGAAAATAATGTTCATTACCTACATTGACAATTCCATTTATTGTTGCAAGAATTTCAGACAAATCCTTATAAAGATGTTATTTTTATAACAACACAGTCTTTTCAAATTCATGACCTAACAGCTGATACATTTTTGGTCTCCTGACCTTTTTTAATACTGACTGCTGAAATTAACGTCTCATTTTGGAGAATTTTCACCAAAATGAAGAATACTTCAGGTAGTAACTTTTGAGGAAAGAGGAAACACTAAAGTAGGAAAAGAATGAGAAAATCCAACATCTAAAACACAAGCAACGTAAGGGTACATGGAAAATGTATATGACAGGGGTTCAAACCAAGTTAACATCTACCTTCCTGTGTGAGTTTAAATATTACCTTCACAATAATCCAATTTTAAACTATGCAGTTAACATATTTTCCTTTATAAGTTGATACCATCTGAATTCCATTTGTATTTTGTAAGTTTTTTTATTTTTATAATACTTTGTAATACATGTTTTCTTGTATGTACTGAGGATCATTTGCTGTTTTATATCAATTTAAAGAAATGTTGCATTTTGTTGGAAAGAGTAACATTAAAAAATGCTAATTATTCTTGTCATCCAAAAATGCAAATTTTTCATTCTTTTGATACTTCAGCTTCATACACCAGTAATTAGTTTGCATTTATGATTTGAAGTCTCACCTTGTTTTATTCAGGTATCTTGCTACAAGTATTGCTGTAGTGATTGAATATTTGACCATCTGCTGACTATAAAGCCTCTAATGATCCAATAGCGTAGTATGTATTTGCTGGAGCATATGTCCTAGCAGATGCTGCCCTGGATGTGCTCTCCAATCCCTGGTATTTATAACAAAATGCGACATTTGAGCCACATATCTTATCTTTGTATTAGATTATGGTTTAAACTTTCTATCTTGCTTTTTATATTTCTTTATTTAAAGAAAGTGTATTGTCTTTTTGTCCTCATGTAGTCTCCATTTAGTCTTTACTAGACCCATGTACTAAATTTTGCCATTTTCACAAAGTCTGTTATTTTATCATAAAATGTGTTGATTCTGCAGGTGCAAAATTCATCAAGGTTTCTTTCTCGCAAATGCTGAATTTTTTTTATTGTTTACTTTATCCTTTTCTTCGCATAACTGGGTTAAGGATAATTTGTAACTAAAATGTTGGTGATCTACCCTGGTGTCTTCACAGTGCAACAGAATTGGCTACATGGAGGCCATAATTGATGATGGAAATGATTCTTCCCTCTAATGTTGTTTCCACTTTGCTCTCAGTCATATGGAGATGAGAAATTGAGTAGAGTGAAACAGCTGTACTGTTGGCCCTATGTTGTAGCCTATTTAAAAATTATAATTACTTTGAAATTTTAACAAAATCCTGCTTCCATTTGTTCTCTTCTTGTGATCTCCCTCCTATAACAATTTATCAAAGCTGAAATTAATGTAATTAACATCCAAAAAAGACATTTTTTCTGATTCTGTCCTGAATATACCATGCTGTTTGCATAATTACATCTAATTATTATCTGAAGATGAAAATTAATAGCTCTAAAAATTCAGAACTCTGGAGCAACAATAAATTACCTGATCTATTAAGTACATAGTCTTGATACAAGCGTAGTGTCTTGGCTACAGACTATCAATCCTAGCTTGAAAGGACTAATGCAAAGGTTTAT